GGCAGGCGGAAAGCTCTAGTTTCCGCTCCGCGCTGTGGACAAGCTGTTGATCATGGTCGAAAAACTTGAGTTTCCGATTCATGTTCCCGAAGTCATTACTTTGTATGTGTGGAAGGCGGGAAGCTCTAGTTTCCACTCCGCGCTGTGGACAAGCTGTTGATCATGGTCGGAATGAACGAGTTTCCGCTCCATGTTCCCGAAGTCATTGATTTGAATGTGTGGCAGGCGGAAAGCTCTAGTTTCCGCTCCGCGCTGTGGACAAGCTGTTGATCATGGTCGGCAAGGCCGAGTTTCCGATCCAGTTTCGTATGGTATTACGCGGTCGTGAAAATATACGAAGCCGATTACAATTGTACAAAGCAGTCATAAATATTGTGTAATTTATCGTTCCCGGTTAAAGATATTAATTTATTTTACTACAAAAAAGCGATTCAGATATGTCGAAGCAATCATAATGTGTGTTAAAACCTTGGCATAAACACCGTAAAGCATCATGCATTTCAAAGTTTAATTTACAAATGCTCAACACAACGGGGCGCAGTCGGGAAAGTGAGCCGACCACATTTACCTCATAAACTGAACAGAAATACAGTTCACCAACTGAACGAATAGGTGCAATGTAAGGGTTTACTTGTTATTTATTCAAAATCTCAAGTAAGGTTTTCTTAATTTTCAAAGAATAATCCTTGTTTCGCGTCACACAAATCTGGCAGCCCTATTAGTACGGGAGCTAGCAACGTCGTGAAAACAGTGAAAATTTTCAAGACAGCTGGTTTTTTGATATGACATCTCTCTCACTCCCCCGGTTAGCGTGGGGGCCATCTGGCAGGCGGTAATGGTTGCGTTGACTAGTGCGCATCGTATCTTACCTTCTACCTTTCATTTGCTACATTATAAGATATTCATACGTGATTAAGTGGAACCACTTTTTAAGCTGAATAACGGTAAATTGCAAATATCTCGAAAAGTTGTTTATGGAAAAAATACTCGATTTTCGGAATCAGCAAGCCATTCTGCATAGAAACTGGATAGTGGCATCCAGTGCGCATTTTTGGTGTAAGTCAGTGGTTTTTATGACACAATTATAAGTATAAAAATGTTATAATATTGTTATAGATATCAAAATGTTTGTGTTTTTCTCTTGCTTTTCTTGCTTTATTTCGATACTATACAAGTTGATGTTATTTGAAATGTTTTAAGTTTTTATTTACCTTAACATATGTATTTGTTTCTGTTATTTTATGGCCTTATAACAATTATATTCAACAGTTTTTATTGAGCTCGAGGCCGTTTTCAATGAAAAACTTATTGTGGAAAAGCAACAATAATTTAAAAAAATGGAAGAAGTGATAGCTATTTCGGAAATCACCACATTTCCTCATCAGACTTCTTTCAATAGGATTCGAACCGACGATCCCACTGACTCAGCCAGTTGCCTACGCACTGTGCTAAGTTACCCTTGTAAATTATCGTTGCTTTTTCCCCACGTTTTCATTTGCTAAGCCAACACAATCAAGCGCAGCTATTCCCCTACGATTTACACTTGATTATGTGGTGGTTGGTTTTGTTGGTTTTTGTTAATAGTTCTATTTTTATAATGTTTAACTTTGAGGTGTGCTCGTCCTTAAGTTATTTGTTTTCGTTATTTTATGGCCTTATAACAATTATATTCAAAAAAATTTATTGACCTCGAGGCCGTTTTTAATGAAAAACTTATTGTGGAAAAGCAACAATAATTTGAAAAAATGGTAGAAGTGATAGCTATTTCGGAAATCACCAGATTTCCTCAACAGACTTCTTTCAATCGGTTCGAATCCTACTAAAAGAAGTCTGATGAGGAAATGTGGTGATTTCCGAAATAGCTATCACTTCTACCATTTTTTTCAAATTATTGTTGCTTTTCCACAATAAGTTTTTCATTAAAAACGGCCTCGAGCTCAATAAAAATTGTTGAATATAACTACGGTGACCATATTAACCAACGTAAAATTAAGGGCGGTTTTTTCAAAATGATTTGGAAATACGTACATAAAACTTGTATGATAAAAGTACCATACCCATATCGTAATTTCAATCAAATATTTACCAGTTAATTAACCGATTCCGAAAAATTAAGCCAAATCCTTTTCATCACTTCACCATCCTTTGCTGTCAAAATGCGTTTACCATAGTTCATACTGCACGCCGAAGTCAACACACAGTGGTTCAAAATTGGAATTAAATGTTCAGAATTCACCTAAGCCTTTATTTTTCAATCAATTTTTACTAAGAACCAGAAAAAAAATATTTATTTTGCTGAACATTTCAAAAATTTTTTTGTGTAATTTTTTCGTTTTGGGAGAACCATACAATTGTTTTCAAATAGTTTTCGTTATGTAACATTTATTAACTGGAATCGGAATTTCCTCAAAATTGCTATTTTTCTGCATTTTCCATTATAAAATTTAAAATAATCAAATAAAAATTCACAAATCAGGCTCAACTGCAAATATTGTAAGCTTACACCAAAAAAAAAAAAAATCAGATTAAGTGAAAAATTAATGCTTCAGTGAATTACGAACACTAAATGCCAGTTTTGAACCACTGTGCAGCAGAGGGTTTATTGTTCTCTTTCAGTGGAACTGGAACTCAGCATGCAACACGATCCTGGGCACAACTTTCCCTGTGCTTTATAGATTGTACAAAGATTACCGATTAAATAGAAACCCTTAAGTGGGGTACGAAACAAACTGGCGAAGGTTTTCATTATATTTTATAAGGGACATTTTTGTTTTTCATATTCTGTGTTTAAATATTTACCTCTGAAACATGCAGAGCTGGTTTAAAGGACAGTTTAAGAAATAAAGGAAGAAAAAGGCGTCCTTTATTTTGAAAAAAATTATAAAGGACAGGGGGTTAAAATAAAGGACTGCCCTTTAAAATAAAGGACGGATGGTCACCGTAAATATAACGTATGTATTTGAAAAAAAAATATATATATATAAGTTTTGATATCCCATTAATTATATTTATGTCATAATGGGTAGATAAGTAGTTATAGTTTCCAGTTTTCATACCAAAATCCTATGAAAATTCACTATTTTGCTACTATCTCCTTCACTACCAGCGTAATACTTTGCAGCTTTAAATCGGTCTGGCTCTTGCTTTAGCAACCGAATTAATGTCTGGCAAATTAATTTTAGATTCATTAGAACTTAAACAACATCATATAAAATTTTGGGCTTTACTAAAATGAGTTGCACAATTAATTTTTTTTTAATAAAAAATGACGTCTGTCACAATGTTAACAATAATAAATCTACGTTTCTAAAAGCTTGTTAAAGCCAATGAAAGGAAAATTAACTTACTAAAATGATTTAAAAAATTAGCATTTTTAACTGTAAAGATACGATGCACACTAGTCAACGCAATCATTACCCCCTGCCAGATGGCCCCACGCTAACCGAGGGAGTGAGAGAGATGTCATATCAAAAAACCAGCTGTCCTGAAATTCTCTCTCGAAAACGTTGCTAGCTCTTAGACTATATGTACAGGTACATATGTATATTACTTATGTAAAAAAATTAAATAAGACTTTATACAGAAAATAAAGAAGTATTATAACAAATATTGTCTGGATTGTCTGACAGACTAAAACATAATAGGTTGGGATCATGCGGATAACATTCCTAATATATGTACAAACACTGTGACTGAGGGGTTTGTTAGCGCCAAAATATTATTATTATTATTAGACACACAAAACAATTTTTGTCTAAAATACGGCCATGAATTTATATGCGTGTATATATGAATCCACTTGCAAACAGCGTTATGTGATTTTATAATAGAAGGCCATAAATTTGAAAAAACCACTACGACAACAAGTAACATTTAAATTTAATCTTTTTTATTATTATCTGAAAGTTTGGATAAATAAGAGCCTTATAAAATTATAACATAACATACCATGACATAAGATAGCATTAACAGTCTATACGACCTAAATCAGTTTTCTAGGTTCTTCAGAAGATTGATACTTTTGAAAGTTTATAAATAAGTATGATAGCGACTTTTGGAAGTAGAGTTAACATTTTATGCTATTTTGAAACTACTTTAAATACTGGTACGTAATCCACCAAAAACTAAAAATCTAAAAAATTTTACATAGCGCACTTTGCAAGTGGACTACTCATATGTAAATAACTTTCAGATTTTTGAGCAGTGTGGTTAAGGAATTTTTTAATAATTAAGGGCTGTTTGCAGCTCTCAAGAAAAATCAGAACCAATATTTTTCATTATTACTGTTGGTTCAAAAAGTACTTTGCTTTGCGGTAAATTTTCGTGAAGAAATATATATCCTAATATTTTTTTCTTGAGATCTGCAAACGTATTTAAGAAATTTTGATAGTAAAAAATTTCTTTTCCATTTCTTGTGCGCCATTTACTATGAATATATTCGTTTTTCTTGAGAGCTGCAAACAGCCCTTTACTCAAAAATTATATTTACAATGGATCTTAAGAGAAAATTAATGTCTCGTAAAATTTTTGCAAATCTTAACTTTGAATCGCACTCTTTCGGAGATTTTCCCATATATCCTTTTCGAAAGGACATATATGTATTCAAGTATTCAAAAAGCTTTCTAGTTTTTCTTTGGTTATGTTACAGGTAACAAGTAAATAGGAGTTCTAGACAACTTTTTGGATAATTTGGAACATATCTTGTTTAACTTATTTATTTTCTATCATCCAGAACGTTACCACCCAAAATAAATCAATGAAGATAGTTTTCCTAGTTATAGTATTGAGAGCCATTTCTATTAAACACTAAACGTTTGGACATGATGAGAATTACTGTCAGAAGCCGCTGATAGATAAAGTGAATACCAGTAATCGCCAAAATGTTCAATATTAAAAAAAAAAAGCCTGACTAGTTCACTTTTCTGTGGAATCAACCAATCGAAGATCCAATCGATCCGATTTCGTAGTAAAAAGGACTGACTTCCAAAACGTACCAGTACAATGTTTGGATGCTGTTCTACTGCGGTATTTATACTGTTTGTATATGCAGAGTTGCGAAACATTGCAACATTGATCTCATTAAGTTGTTTAGGCAAACCAGAAATGGGTTTTCTGAGGTAGGGAGAGAGTTGTCGGTACTGACCGAAAAATTTAAACATTATGAAAATGTATTTAAATCTTTTAAATGCTTAGATACCGTACAATCTATGAAGGACATTCATGTGTCAAAACGTAAGCGTCTTCATAGTCCGCCTAATGAAAGGACCGTTCCACGTCAGAACAATCTTCCGAATGACTTAATTAATCTTTCTTCTCCATGTCCACAGACAACGGAGTTATCTTCCTCAAAAGAACATATATCAAAGTCTGCTTCTAATAATAACGACCCTGCAGTATCTTCCCCGTCCCCCGTTGAAGTTGTGGCACCGCCATCTAATCTTCCAACGCTTACTCTACCCTCAATTAGTAACTCAGTTACTCAACCCCGTCCGCCGGTAATCGAGTCTGATACTAGGAGACTGGTTGTGGTTCCCCCAAAGAAGTCTATATTTGTATCTAGATTTTCGAGGGATACTTCCGAGGACGATATAAAGTTTTACATCTCGTCCAAAGTTAAAACTGTCAACTTAAGTATCAGAAAATTTAATTTTAAATATGAAAGAAATATTTCTTCATTTAAAATAGACGTAAATTTAGAAAATTTTGACATGCTGCTTAGTAGTTCTTTTTGGCCCTCCGGAGCTTTCGTTCGTGAATTTGAGTATAGGCCCAACAAAAATAATAATTTAGCAAATATTCCCCGTCAGAATACAGAACCAAAAAACTGATTACTAAATCTGCTTTAAGTATTTATTATCAAAACGTAAGAGGCATAAATACTAAATTAACGAATTTATATCTTAATGGCCTTGAATGCAATTATAATATAATTTCTTTGACTGAAACTTGGCTCAAACCTCACACTTTTAATTCAGAGATTCTTTCAAATAATTATCATATCTACAGAAAAGATCGGGAGGACAGAGTCGGCGGTGGCGTACTCTTTGCCGTAGACTCTTCAATACCATCTGAAGAAGTTAGTCTTCCACACATTGAATCTGCAGAATTCAAATGCATTCGTGTTCAGGTTGGAAGGGGGTTTACTTACTTAGCTCTATGCTATATTCCTCCCCGATCTGACTTATCAGTGTATTCACAACATGTATCTTTACTGAAATCAATTAATTCAATGATTAAACCCTCTGATTCATTGATTGTGTTGGGTGACTTTAATTTACCAAATGTATCATGGAACATCATTGACAATGATATTGTACCTTTCTCGTCTAGCGCGTGCAACAACGTATTTTTAGAGGAGATGGCTGAACTCTGCCTGAATCAAGTTAATGTACTTCGCAATAAGTTTGGCAAAGTATTAGATCTTGTTTATGTTGATGATGCATCTAAGTCGGCTGTAAATAAATGTGACCCACTAGTTTTGCCCGAAGATGTCTACCACCCTGCTATTGAGATATCTTACGAAATTATAAACGATGGTCAAAATTGCGATGTCCAAACATACGAACCAAATATTCGCTTTGATTTTTCGAAAGCCAACTTTAAAAAACTGAATAAAGAATTGTCTAAATTGTCGTGGCCTATATACAAAGAAAAAGTTGAGCAAAGCGTTGCACATTTTAATTTTACTGTACATAGATTATTTGAAAAGTATGTGCCTAAACGCATGTGTGTTCCTGAAGAACAAACACAGTTATGGTTCACTAAAGAACTGAGAAACTTGAAAAACAGAAAGTCACGTTATTTTAGATTACACAAAAAAACCGGCTTACACTCATACTATGTAAAATACTCACTTTTGCGTCACAAGTTCTTTGAATTAAACAAAAAGTGTTATAAAGATTACTTGTGTAAAATCAAACGACGTATAATATATAACCCCAAATCATTTTATGATTTCGTAAACTCCAAGCGAAATGTACGTGGGTTTCCTTCCGCCATGAAGTATCAAAATACCGTCTCTGGTGATAATCAAACAATTTCTAACATGTTCGCTCAGTTTTTTAAATCCAATTATTCCACTAACTCCCAAGCATACTTTGACTATCCTTTTAAACTAAGTCCAATTAACTCAATACATAACCCTATAATATCTCCCGATGATGTTTTAGTTTACCTGAAGTCCTTAAAGCAGTCTTTTAGTTATGGTCCTGACCAGATCCCCACTTGTTTTCTTAGAAATTGTGCTGATTATCTCTATGAGCCGTTAACAGCCTTATTTAATTTGTCTCTTAAAGAGGGCGTTTTTCCAACTGTATGGAAGGAATCGTTCATAACCCCCTTACATAAAAGCGGTAGCAGGTCTTCAGTGGAGAACTACCGGGGCATAGCTAAGCTTTCTGCAATTCCTAAATTATTTGAAGCAATTATAACAAATCGGTTGACGCATTCTATCACTTCAAGCATTTCATACAGTCAACATGGATTTTGCAAGGGCAAATCAACTTCTACAAATTTACTTGAATTAACATCCTATATCTCAAAAGCATTTAGTGAGAGCAAAACTGTTGATGTTATATATACTGATTTCAGTAAAGCATTTGACAAAGTGTGCCACTCGTTGCTCATCTATAAACTTGATCTTCTTGGTCTTCCACCTAATTTTCTACGTTGGATCTCTTCATACCTCTATGATAGATCACAAAGGGTATTGTTTAAAAATACTATCTCTGACGTCATTGATGTTACTTCAGGAGTCCCTCAGGGTAGCCACCTAGGCCCGATTCTGTTCTTGCTTTTTATAAACGATATTTCTACAGATATAAAATTCTCCAAAATTTTAATGTATGCAGATGATGTAAAACTTTATAAATCGTACGTTTCAATTAAAGAAAGGTCTTTGCTACAATCAGACTTAAACAGCATGGCTTACTGGTGTAAAGTAAATCTTATGCCTCTAAATCTTAAGAAATGTAAAGTAATGTGCTTCTCGCGAAGAGCTGTTCTGCCAGTTTCTTATATAATAGGTAACCATAACCTGGAACAGGTATACAATTTTGTGGACCTTGGTATCACAATGGATCCTAAGCTTAATTTTAATCTTCACATTAATGTGACAGTCAACAAGGCTAAAGGTGTACTTGCATTTGTGAAACGATGGTCAAAAGAATTTAGTGACCCTTATATCACTAAAACCCTGTTTACAACATTAGTTAGGCCAATTCTGGAATACGGTCCGGTGGTTTGGAATCCAAGGTATCAAATTTACTCAGACAAGATAGAATCAATTCAAAAACAATTCCTACTTTTTGCTTTAAGAAATTTCCGATGGGATTCTCAATATAGTCTTCCACCTTATACGAGTCGCTTAAAACTTATTAACCTTCCTACACTTGCCAGTCGCAGGGAAATGCTTGGTATAATTTTTATGGTTAAATTACTGACAGGCTCAATTTCAAGTCCGTCTCTTCTGGCTGATGTAAGCTTTAATGTTCCCTCACGCGTATCAAGACACTTTTGTCCCATATTTCTGAAAGCTTGTAAAACTAATTTTGAATTGCACGACCCACTCCGTTGCTTATGCCAGGATTTTAACTCTCATTCCAGCACGTTTGATATATCAGATCCGCTTTTCAGCATTAAGAAAGCGATACTCTCCTCTCTCAATAAGTGAATTATTGACATAAATACATAAAATCAGCTGATGAATTTAGTTCTGTAGCTGAACAGTTTTAGATCTCGACACTTAACAAACTCCTGCCTATCGTGACTCGGCACCACAAAAATTTAAAATATTGGTTCCGTACGTCATGCGGACTGCGCCCCTCGTGCGGATGGGCGGGAATGGAGGGTAAAAACCGTTGGGATATTATTATTATTATTATTATTATTATTACTATTTAATAAAACAATGATCATAATTTCGGAATTTTCCAATTTTAAAACACAAAAGGTAACCAAAACCAAACGAAGCATCATTATTGAAGTATTGCTCCAGCGATACGTTTCGATAACTTTTCGGATGCTTTTCTTTAAATTATACATTGTCCATATTTCGTAGTTCGGCGTTATGGAACATTATACTTTGTTCGTATGCAATGCAATTGACGTTTTGGAAGCCAGCCAAACTTTATTTACTTGTCAGTTACAAAGTAAAAGGAAAAAGAACCTTCGAAACTGAAAATTGGAATAATCCTTGCACATAATCACCAAGCCAATTATCTGTCAACAGAACTCATTGCACACATCACTCGCAGAAAATCTGAACACAAATTAATCTGATACGAACGTTATTGCACATGATTGAGACCTAGCACACATATGTATGTAAGTACTTTCGTGGGTACATATCTACATATACATACATACATCACTACATATGTACATACTAGGAATATTAATCCCGGGATCCCGGCCTTTTTAAGGTTCCAAAAATACCGGGATTCTAGGCAAATAATCCCGGGATTTTTGGGATTTGTAATTTGCACTGATGGCAATAATAGAAACTCCTTTTCTTGACCAGTATTGACTATATTTCTTTTTTTATTTAATAATTAATATTTTGTTATAAATGTCTAGCTCATTATACATATAACGCCGACCGATAGAAAATTTTAGTTTTTGGTGCAGAAGAACTCGAAATATTGAAAATGTCCTTTTAAAATTGTATTCTTGAAATTTCGCAATATTTGTTTTTGAAAAAATTATATGTTAAAGACTTATGGGTCATTCCATTGAAAAGAGGAAAACGATATAAATTTAAATATGCCCTAATGATCTCTAGTTCGGTAGTAACCTCTTTTTTAATGACTAAATTTAATTACCCTGTGGGAAAATATAAAAAAAAAATCAGAAGAAGTTGTAATTTTTGTCAATGGAAACTTTTATTTCATGCATAATTACTTTACACCAGTCACAAGGAGATGTCCCACCAGTCACAACTTTAAATATTATTGTGAAAAATAAGTGTTTTGGCTAAAATTCATCTTTGAGTGTACAAGGGTAAAATAGAATCGCTAATTAAAAATCCACCTGACATTGGAAAAAACAAAAACTCACCTCAGCCCTTAATGGCTTTTGACAAAACTAAAAAGTTAAAAATCATTACAACCGGCCCTAAATACATGGGTATTAAAAGAAATCCTGAAACTGAATCACTTGCAACGTATCACCATTTCTAATTAAAAAATCAATTGACTACACCTGCTCAGGTTCAGTCGATTCGTGTAAAAAATTAAAAAACGGTACCCTCTTAATAAAAACGAAAAATCTCGACCAAGCAAAAAAACTAATAACTCTAACCGCAATTAAAAATTCAATTAAAGTGGAAGTCTCAGAACATTATTCCCTCAACTACACGAAAGGAGTAATATACTTCAATGATCTCCGAAGCATTCCAGAAGAAGAGATACTAAACGAACTCAAGCTTCAAAACGTAGTAGAAGTAAAAAAAATCATGAAAAAGTCTGGTGAACTGTTAACTGAAACCGGTTTGATAATTCTTACATTCTCCTCACTCTCCCAAGTGAAGTCTTTATTGGATATGAAAAGGCATATATTCGAACGTACGTCCCCCTACCACGTAGATGTGTCAACTGCTATCGGTTCGGCCATCCAGCTATGATATGTAAAAACGAAAAAAATATGTCCATCATGCAGCAACAATGCTCACATTGAGCCCAACAGTAATGACAATTGTTATAGAATAAAAAGGTGTGTAAACTGCTTGGACAGCAAAATAGCAGAAAATTCTCATTCCGCGCTCGATAAAACATGTCCAGTGTTCATAAAACAAAAATAACTCCAATCAATAAAAACAATTGAAAAGGTCGACTACAAAACAGCAGTTAAAATTTACTCAGAACGTCATGCTCACTCAAATTCAACATACTCCTCCATCCTCCATCGCCCGTACAACATTCCAACAGACTCAGTAACCTCACCAAGCAAAATAAGCAATCCAATAGAAGGGAATAATTCACCACACTGTTCTAACTCAACTCCTACAAATCCGACAACTACTAATCCCACTCATCCAGCGAACAAGTATACCTCGGTTGAAACACACAATTGGGCAATTCACAAGGTGTTGTGAAGTTAT